ACTAGGAGGCTGAGGCAACAGGATCACTGCAAGTTTGAGACCAGCCTGGCTACAAAGTGAGCTCAAGGCCAGCCTGAACTGCACAGTGAGACCCTGTCTCAAAAGATACAAAAAAAAAAAAAAAAAAAAAGAAAGCTATGTACATGCACCAACTCCCTATGAAGAATGTAATTAGTACTGCACACATGTATCAATAAAAATAAAATTAAATTTAAATTTAAAATAAGAAAAAAAGAGGTACTTTCATAACTTCCTCTTTTCTCTGCTTTTCTTCCTTGTAACAAGCACCTCTATGTTTTCTGTGTGCTTTCCGCATGAAAGCTTTGAGAACAGCAAAAAAGCCATGTATTTGCCTTTGATATCTGAGTGCTAATCAGGTTATTTTCTGCTGCTTAGGACTTGAAAGGCAGCCATTTGGGACAAATGAGAACATGATCCTCTGCCTATGCTCTGTTTTCCTGGAGATCTTGTATAGTAACTTCAGTAGATTCTGTGATGTTTGACATACGCTGGATATTTAAATAGAGACAAAGCCTTTTGAAGGCTATGATGTTGATCAGTCTCCAGCAAATGACAGAGCATGACATAAGCATCCAAGGAATTACACAAAATGGGAAGATGTATCTTAAAGCTCTTTACATTTCTGCCCTTTTAATAAGACGATTAACCTCTGGTGGAAAGTTTTAATTCTTTTATATCATTCAACGCTGTATGTTTAGATTTATATTGCTTGACTTCTTGTTAGTAATTCTAAGGCCAAAAGTATGTGTGATTCTTTCTTTATTCTTTTTTTCTCAGACCTCTGGCTACCTCTTTTAAAAATGGCTCATCCTGAAATTATAGTGCCACCAGATGTTGTATGATTCACTTATGTGAGGTCCCCAGAACAGTCAAATTCATAGACAGGAAATAGAATGGTGGTTATCAGGGTGGGAGTCTTGGAGGAACTGGAGTTATTGTTTCAGACTGATATGTTGCAAAAGTTCTAGAAATAGATGATTAAGATCATTGCATAGCAATGAGAATCAATTTCAGGCTGCTGAAATGTATACTTAAAGGTAGCTAAAACACAGGGCATGAGTAGTATTTCACAGACCATATTCTTCAGAAAATCATATCCTTAAGGTGTTAAAGATGTTATGGAGTGGTGTACAACAATAATGCCCATACTCAGGAGACTGAGACAGGTGGATTATGGTGAATTCAAGCCAATCCAGGGTTACATAGTGAGTTCAAGGCCACCCTGAATTACAATGTGAGACTCTGTCTCAAGAAACAAATAAATGTGATGGAAAAATAAATAAATATGGAAAGAATTATAGAGGTCTAGAAATTTGAAGGTTAATATTACTAAAAATGTTAGTTTATCAATGTGCTTCTGAGATTTTAATGTTCCTGTTTTTTTTTGTGGTATCAGGGATTGAACTCACAACCTTGTGCTTGTCAGGCAGGCATTTATGCTGCTGAGCTAAATCCCTAGCTCCAGATTTTAATGTTTTAATGTGCATACAAAATTTTCAAGAAGGGGCATAGTATGCACACTGCCCCCAGGTTTCAGAGTCATTGACATAACTATTTGATAATCCATAAACCACTGGGACTAGAGTTTTTGGAAAACCAGTTGGGGACTAGTGGTCCATAGACTGAAGTCCAAATATATACTTAGAATGACTTTTGACATCTTCTATAGTGACCACAACTAGACTTTCACCCTTTTATCACATCTTCCTCCACTTGAAGCCTCTTATGGTTTGTATATAATGTCCTCCCAGAGCTCCATGAGTTCATGGGGGTGGGTCTTTCCAAGGTGGCTGATCCAAGGGCTGCGATTGCCTATGTGAATGCCCTACCCACCCAGGTTTGGGTAGCCAGCACACAATATAAAGGAGGCAAGGAGTTCTGCTTTGCTCTTGTTGCCTTTGGTATGTGCCACTGTCATGAATGGCTGCCCCTGTACCATGCTGATTATGAACCGAAACCTCCACAAACTGTCAGCTAAATAAACTTTTTCTTCCTTCATTTTTGGTGTTAGATATTTTGTCCCAGCAACAAGAGAAAAATAATTAAGACCCAGCCTAATAGTTGTACTACATTTCTCCATATTTTCTGAGGGCAATTTGCATTCTTGGTCTCCATGTACTTGCTTAGGCACAGTCTGAAATGATTCTCTTGCCATTTTTTGCCTTTCTGAAATACTTTACCTATCTTACTTCAAAGCGTTAGCAGGACTTTTAAGTGTACAGCAATTCTTATTTGTCTGTGATCATTGTTGCAAAACTTTTTTTTTAGAATTAGTGAATAGATTAGTTAATTACATGAGCAGTTATGACATTCTACCTTGTGGTTTTGTTAATTGTTCATAGATCTCTTTTGTCTACCAAATACTAAGTCTCACGAGTGCAAGTTAAGGATCTATGTCCTTTTCATCTTTGTCTTTTCCAAGCCTGTTGCAATTCACACCACATACCCACTCAATATGTGTTTATTTATGAACTTTAATTTAATTACCAAGCAGCACCTATGATATATAGAGTGCAGAGCCGTATTTAATTATAGCATTAAAGATATTAGGCACAGATTCTGTTTGCTAAGAGATAGAAAACCAACATATGCAGATCTAAAGTAATTTTAGAAAAATTATAAAATGAAATAGCTGCTACAAATGGTGGAATAGAAATAGAGCACATGAATGCTGAATCAATGAATAATTAAAGATCGATTTCAGTTGGTTGGGCTCAGGGACATCATTTGGGCTGAATGTCAATGAGACTGGAATAGTCAGAGTGGTCTGACCCTACCTGAGTGTAGAGGATGTAGTATAGAGAGTTTAGAGAAGACAGCAGAATTTCTATTTTTTAAAAATCTTGTTTTATGTTATCATCTTTGGTTGCCATGCCTATCATCATTTTATTATCAAAGATCTGTCCATGACCTGTTATTAGGGCTTCTAGAATTCAGTAAGATGACAGCACTGAAGTACTGCATCCTGGCATCTCATTGGTTATTCCCTTCATTGATCCTGGGGATGGTGCAGAAATGAATCATAAGGGTACTTTTATGCTCTAATAAGTCTCAGTGCATTAGATATGTGATAGCTGTAATGTAAAGTATTGTTCTGTGAATCATTAGTCAGGCCTGAAGCTTTTGTTCTATGCAAGTATCATTATTTTTTTTTTTCAAACATGGACTCACGGTGTAGTTCAGGCTGGCCTTGAATTCATTATGTAACCCTGGCTGACCTTGAGCTTGCAGTAATCTTGCCTTGTCTTTTTGAGTTCTGGGATTACAGGAATGTGCATGGGTTTATCATGTTATTATTTTTGTTTTTGACACCACAGATTGAACCTAGGATTTTGAGGTACTTCCCTAGCCATTTTTTTGAGAAAGTGTCTTGCTAAGTTGCTAAGTTAATCCTCCTGGCTCAGCCTCCCAGAGTGTTTGAATTAAAGATGTGTGATACCACACCTGGTATATTAGTTGTTTACATAATTCTGATGTTTAATACTCTAAGAAAGTTTTCACAAGTTTGACATTATGGAAGCCTCCTGAAGGGAGTGCCACATTAGGAACTGCTGCCCCTCTCTTACTTGGCAATTAATGTGGACTTTGCAGGTGCTACAACTTTACTGTCATTGTAGGCAAACAGAAAGTGGCAGGAGTGTTGTTTCATTGTGCCACAGGCTAAGTTGTTGCCAGGGACAGACTGATTTTTGGCAACCTCACTAGTGAAATTTCAAAAGTAAAATTTGCCAAAAGACTTAAGGTGCCAAAATGGTCAAATTGAGTCACAGAAATAACAGGAACAGATAAAAGAAGTGCCTGGGAATGTGACTGCATGTAAAGCACTGACTGCCTCCTTCTACTGACTCCCCATAGCCCACTTCCCCATCCTGGCACGGGGCTCACTCACTAAATGGAAGTGTGCTTGCACTTGTGAAGATTCAGTCTAAGAGAGAAGGTCACCTTTCCTTGACAAATATAAACCACTGACATTTCCTTTCAGTGGAATACTTCTTTTGAATGAGTTATTACATTTAACCAAATACTACATGGGAAAATGCTTTGCAAGCAGTAGAATAATTTCCAGCATAATGAATAATGTTTTATGCATTATGATATACTCTCAGTGCTCCATTATATATGTGAATACTCTTATTTTCATTATTTGAGGCAATGTATTGCATTGGAACTTATATCTTATTTGCATTTGGTTTGTAAAGTAGGTTTCTATTATTGTTTGATACAAGCATGAGAGGTGGAAGAAACATTGAATAGTGGCGGTGGTGGTATACATAATATAAAGTACTTTATATATACTTTGACCTTGAGCATTATGTTGAACAGTTGAAACTGTTCTCATATTGTAATATTTAACAATTCACATAGGGCCTGTCAATATTGTGTGGTTAGTTTATATTTCCTAGCCACTGAAAAAATAAGCAGGAGCTTCCTGGCGAGGAGGAGTTGTCAACTGTCTTTTCCCTGCTCCAGCACACACCACACTCCCGTCTGTATCACCATGTGAAGACTGCAGGCATTCGCTTGAGGTTTAAGTGGGACTGGGAATTGTATTTCACCCTGTTTGAAGAATATCATATGCTTTCTTTTCTCCCCACCTCATGAGAATAACTTATGCAGAATATAAAAATGTATCCAGGGAACAAATAGATGGCTTCCGACGTGAACCAGCTTGGTAACTTGGTTACTTTTCTCTTATCGCCGAGACAAAATTCCTGATGCCCAAAATGAAGGAAGGAAAGGTTCATTTCGCTCAAAGTCTGTAATCAGCTGTCTCTAAGACAGGGTGGCAGAAGGCAACAGTTCATGGCTGCAGAAGACAGAAAAAGCACAAGAGCAAAAGGGAAGAGTGCATGAAAAAACCTTTGTACTTCCCTTATATTGTATGTAGGTCACACCCACCCTAGGGTGTGTATAGTACACATACACACAATCCCAGCATTGGGCCATGAATCTGTCGCAAACTCCAGAAGCCTGCTGCTATGACTGCATGAGGCTTTGGGGCGGACTTCCAGACACAAACTATAACTGTAATATTAGATTTTTCTCCAATCATTTAACTACATTCATTGTTGGCAATGGACCATTTGCCATGAAAACGAAACTTATTTAAGGCATTAATGGAAATATCTTCTCTCAGAAGAAGGGAACAGCTAGGTGTCAAATGCATTGTATAGGAAAATAAGCCATTAAGGTAAGTGGTGCACTTGTACAACTATCTAAAAGGATAATGATTACTTGTATTTATTCATTTGTTCAAGTTCTGCTTTTTGGAGAAACATGGAGAGAGTTTTTCATTCTTTGTATGAGAGCCCTCTGAATATTTGAAGATGTTTATTGTGTCTTCAGGTCAGAACACCCCTTACTCATATATCCTACATTTGCTCAATAAATATTTAATTAATACTTCCACTGTTTCATCTTAAAATGGAGAAAAATGAAAAGTATTTATTTTATTCATGTTAGGTTTTTTGGTGTAGTTGAGAGACAAAGAGAAAGAGAGAGAGAGATAAAGAGGCCTTTATTGTGGGCACTGGAGGATTGCAGAAGAATGCAAGATTCCCTCAGACCAGAAAAAAAGAGTGATTGGGCTTTTACTAGGTCTGGCTGGGGGTAGAGTTTGGGGGGCGGGCCAAGTGATACATTAACAGGTATCATTGGAGGAGCCTTGGCATGTGTGAAAGAAGAGATAGGAACTTTATTTTTGGGCTGAGGGGAAAGAAAGAGGAAGTTGTTGTTGCTTTTGGCCTCTTTGCCATGGAGACTTGGTGAATTTGGTATGGGCCAAAATTCATCAATTTATAATTGGAACGGCTGCATTTACAAGTGTGGATGATAATAAACTCATATTTTATTCATTCTCTGCCTGAAGAAATTGCCATCAACCTTACATCTCTTGCCTTCTTCTGAGGCTTAGGCTTTCATCTGTAAAATTAGAACAAGACACTTGCCTTACATAGTTACAAGGATTAAATTAGATAATGTGGCAAATGTCAAAAACTTAGCACACCTATACAACCTAGAAAGTTTTATTTATCTTCTTGTGTTGGTGTCGCTCCCGGCCGGCAGGAAAGACACACGACAGATTCTGACGGTGTGCAACCTTGTCTTTATTTGTCTCCGCGTGGGCCCCGCGAGGCCTCCGCTCTGCCACCAGCCCTTTCTCGCCGGTGGACTTTCTCTATCTCTCTCTGTGCTTCTCTCTCGTGGTGGGAGAGGCACTTACTTTTATAGGGTAACAGTGGCCAATCAGTTCAAAGCGCGTGATGCGGGCTGATTGGCTAACATCAGTTGTTGCTAGGCAGACTATCTTACAGAGTGGGTTGTTTAAGTCGCCAGGGCAATCAGGGGACAGGAAGCAGGGGCCAACTTGGCTCACTCGATGGGAGGGGTAACTTAGCTCAGGCTTTGCTCTTTTTTACAGGCCTCACGTCCGCCAAGTAAGGCGACCGGGCTCGGCCGCGGCTCCCAACATTCTTGGAAATAAAAAGAAAGTGTTTCAGGATTACCTACCATGCATTAACCACATAGAAGTTCAGATATTAGAATAAGATGTGTATTATTTCTATTTAAGGGTATTATTTTTAAAATTTCTCATAGAGATCTACTCAAAGGAGCTTGTTCTAAAATCCCAATTCTGTTGAGGTCCTAAGAAAGGGTTTCAGTTATTTCATAGATAGGAGGCAGGAAAGTCTATCTACAGGGTTGGTCATAGATTTCACTCTAGATGAATTAGGGCACTTTCATTCAATCCAATCCTAATCTCCTGACTCCAGGACTGCCAGTCCTCAGTCAGTTTATCCTGCAATGCCTGTCTTTGAGGGCAAGTATTTTGAGTTAGAAACCTACTCCCAAACCCATATAAAGCTGGTGTACCTTCGTTCTTTGTGTATGCATGTGTATATATATATATATATATATATATATATATATATATGTTTAGTTGCAGAATTGAAGAGACTAATAAAGAAGAGATTATTATTTGACATTACAAAGTAGTGTTTAATTCCTTTAAGAGGGTAGGAAAAAAAATCCACCTAGGAAAATATTGATGCTACACATTAGAGCATTTCAGAGCTGAGAGCTGAGGAGAGGACTATTGTGTGTACTTGTGTGTTCTTTATATTTAGGCTTTTTTTTTCACCAGTTTCTGCTTAATTCAATATCTCTAAAATTTAAGGTCTATGTCAATCTCATTTAACTCAGTAGCTACATTCATTGGAAACAATTTCTTATTAATTTTGAGGAGTTCTTTGGTTTGTCATACTATAGATCATATATTAAGGACAATTTTGTTTAAGCCTTAGACTTATCATATTATCATTTTTGTTGTTGTTAGTGATTAAAATAAATTTCTGTTAAAGTTTATGTTCTGAGAGGTCATTAAAATGATTGAATGTCTGTTAATTTAAGATATTTTACCCTAGGGGCTGGGGATTTAGCTCAGCAGCATAAGCGCCTGCTTTGCAAGCAGGCAGTTGTGAGTTCAATCCCTGGTACCGATAAAAAAAAAAAAAAAAAAAAAAAAAAAAAGGAAAAAGACAAAAAAAAAAAAAAAAGATATTTTACCCTAAAGTGTCAATATGAGTGCAAATTTTTGTAAGCTAAATTTAGTTCAATGTGTTAGTCGGTTTTGTGCGGCTATAACAAAATTCCAGAGACTGAATGATTTAAAAAGAAAAGAAATTTATTCCCACAATCTCAGAGGCTGGGAAATTCAAGATGAAGGGGCCGGCATTTAGGGAGAGCTTCTTAATGTGTCATCACCTGGTGGGAGGCATCACATTGGAGGGGGAAGAAGTGAGGAGAGAGAGAGAGAGAGAGAGAGAGAGAGAGAGAGAGAGAGAGAGACTGATCATTTTATAAGGGTCCACTTCATGAATGGCATGAATCCTTGCTCTCATGGCCTATATCTCTATATCTAAAAGTTCCATCTCCCAGCATCCCCATATTGGGGATCAAGTTTCCAATACAGGAACTTTGATGGACATATTCAGACTATAGCCCCTGGTTATAGCCTTTGTGTTTGTTGAGGCAAGAGTATTTAAATCCTCATACGATTTCTCTCTCTCTCTCTCTCTCTCACCTTTTGATTTTTTGAGACAAGGCTGGCCTCAAACTCACAGTGATCCTCCTGCTCCTACCTCCTGAGTGCTGGAATTACAAGCATGTGACATGTTTTTCTTCATTTGAGGAATTTCCAATGTTTGTTCTTTTTCCTACTCCGTCTCTTCTGCTTCAGGCACCTGTAAGAACGCTTATGAGAGAAACTGGAATTTTCTATTCCTTATCAGAATGAGAAGATCAAAACTTTCTGGGAAGAGAAAATCCTGGAATTATTCTCCTAGTCTTTTTCCTCAAGCTCCTCCAGAAATGAAGCGCTTACACCTTTCAGGATGTTTTAAAGTGTGATGTCCACCTGAGGTGAGGAATGTGTACTTTGTCTTCGTGCTGGCAAGCTGGTCACTGTTTCTCATGAATGCCCTAATGAAGGAAATAAGCACTTGATCAGTTCAAATCTTGTAAAGTGTGTAAGAACTAGTTTATCTCCTTGAGTAAAAATGCATACTTTCTTAGACTGTGTGCAGACAAATGTGAAATAGAGTTTTTTTTTTTTTTAAGTAGAAACAGTATAAACACCTCATGCACATCACTGATGTATTTCTGGACATTTCTATCAGTAGAAACACTAGAATTCATTGTTTTATTATCATGGTGCTTTCCCTCCTGTTAACTCAGTAGCATGCTGAGATCACCTATTTTGAAAATTGCCTGAAATTCCTTCAGTGTTATTTGCTATACCAGTGTTTAGGACAACTGGTCTATCAGTTACTAAGTGTTCCACTTACAAGTTTCCCTTGTCTTAGAATTTTGAGGTTATAATGCATTTTTTTTCTTTTATTCCAAAGCACCTTAAAAACAAAACAGTTCATCTCTGTAAGATTTTGCATTGTATTTTCTTATAGAGGCAAATTTATAAGTAGAGGAATTCATACTGCCTTGGAGAAAATGTGCTGCTGCTGTTTTTCCTGAAGAGTTTGGAAGTACTTATCTACTGATTTATTTAGGGATCTATTTTATTTTGTGTAGTGCAAAGGAGAATGAATAAAGGCACCAGAAAAGAAAGGAAGAGGAAATTATGGTTTTTCTCCTTTTAAACATTGAACATTAATGTCAGATTTTTATTGGTCTAAGATTCCAGGTGTTTCTGTGTCATTTACTCTTTTATAAAGTAGGTAAGACTCTCCTCATGCAAGTGAAGAAGTCAGAGTGGAAATGTTAACTAGCCCAGGGCCAGTGACACAGAGGTGGGAATTAGCGTGGGTCTTCATATTTCCTTGTATTGAACTTCACTGGGTGGGCAATGCTGACCTTTGTTCCTATTAAATCATTGACCCCATATTACCCCATAAAATTACTTAAGGACCTTTTTTATTTGACACTGAGGATATTATATGGCTCTCAATGGCAAACTGTACCATTTTTTCTTCCTCTAGCATTTGTGCCTCCTTGCAGTTTTCAATTTTTGTCAGTCAGTGAATTGTTCACTGAGTGGAAAATCCTAAGATTTAAAGTGAAATAAAAATGCAAAGAAGAACATTCTGAATTTGGGCATGGCAGTACATCCTTGTATTTCCAACTATTCAGAAGACTGAGGGAGGAGTATCACAAGTTTATGGACTTATCTAATGGCCTGGAACTCTGGGTTCAAATCCTGGTACCACAATTACAAAAAACCATGGTTCTTGCTTGGAAGATATTTGGGAATGGTGGGAGGATAGGCACTCTTGATTATTAATCAGCCAGTCACTATTTGATTAGTACCAGATAAGGGACCTAGGGACTCATGGTATTGATGAACCTTCACTTAGAGGGCTGAGGTAGGAAGTTAGGGCTGGGGCAAACCAGATAACCAACTGGATGGAATGTGTCAAAGACCATAAAAACCTGAGGTTAGCAGGTTAACCAAGATGTTTCCTGAAAGAGACAATACGAGCAAAACATAAGACCCAAATGACATCAGGCCATGGCTGAGCACTGTGGTCTAATCAGAAAAATGCTATTTTCAATCTTTAATTTGAATTTGGGGATGTTTGCAGGATCAATCACAAGGTGCTCTTTTCAGTCCTCCATTTACATATGGACACAGCCAATCAAAGACACTTTCTGATACATCTGGTGAGAAGCCAAGTGAACGTTTTCATCAGACAGTTTGTACCTGGTGTAACACCAAATGAGTGCATAGGACTGTTACGATTTATACTTCAATGTCCCCCCACAACCTCAAGTGCCTCTGGTGAAGGAGTTGGATCAGTAGGGCATGGCTTGGAAGGGTCTGTTCCTCTCTTGATCTCTCTCTCTGCTTCATGCCTGCCACGCCATGAGCTGTTTCTCCTATGCCATGCCACCCAGCCTTGGAGCTAAAATAAACCATCCCTCCTTTAAACTGTGGGTGTTGGGAGCATTGTGTCTCAGCAACAAGAAAGTCAGATGAGGACAAATGTCTCAATGCCCTGTCTTCATAAGAGGGATGCCAATTAGGAGATTCTAGATACAGATATTGGTCCTTTTCCCTTAATCTTCAGCTCACTTTGAACCTTTTTTTTTTTACCAGCCCTTTTGATCCTGCCCTGTAGCACATAGCTCTTTTCTGCCTTCAGTAAATGTTCACCTTCTCTCTTTTCAGTCTATCTTCTACAGTTCTTTTTTTGGGACATCAAGAACCTGCAATGAAATCCCATGAGCTCTCTCCTACTGGATCTGGTAACAGGGCTGTCTGTGGACTGGGGAACTATTGGGAAGGGGACCTGCACTGGGCTTAGAAACAGTTGCAGTGTAGAATAAAGCATTTTGAAACAGAGCTTAGACAATTTTGTTTCTCATTTTGTACTCAACTTTTGGTGAATAAAGAAATTATCCTGAGTTTCAGTTTTCTCATCCATAAATAGAAAATCTTGGATAGAGTTTTAGAGACAACCACAAATGGCATTATTTGAGCAGGTAGAATTCCTTGTGGCAGCCTTGGTGACAATCACTGTCAGTGATTCTTGGCCTCTGCTATTCATGATAATATTGAGGGGTTCACTTCTGTGTATTATGAAATACTGGTTCTATTTTTCTCCTAGCAGATGGTCTCTATTGTTTTCTTGACTTGTACATTTTTTTTATTTTTAGTTTTCTGTAGTACTGAGGATTTAACCCAGGGCCTTTGCAATGAGCTACATTCCCAGCTCTTTTTAAATTTTCTATTTTGAGACAGGATCTCATTACTTGTATGTTGCCCATCTGGGCTCGAACTTGCCCCCCTCCACACTGTGATGAAGCAGGATGCTGTCTTGGAGGGGCTCCTAAGAAAGAAATTGAGGGCTGTCCCCAGAGAAGAATCAGTAAGGAACTGAGGTTTTCAGTTCAGCAACCAGTCAGGAGAAACTGAATCCTGTCAATGACTACCTAGTACCAGGCAGTGCAGTCTGGCCCAGCCAAGACGCCAGACGAGAACACAGACCTGGGACAAACACTTGGATTACAGTCTTGTGATAGATCATGAAGCAGAGAACCCAGCTAACCCATGTTCACTTCCCTGCCCTGCAGAAAATGTAAGAAAAGTGTTTTAACACACTGTGTTTGGGGGTGATTTGATGCTCAAAACTCGATAGTGAATATACTCTTTTAATGAAAAATATTGTTCAATATCCCAAAATATTGCTTATTAGGAAACAGAGACCATGAAAATACTCAAAATGGAAGCATCTACTATACTTTCTATTTAGAAATAAGCCCAGTCAAACCTTGATAAACCTGTTGGCCCTTGTTACACCTATCAGGTCCCCATCTGTGTGCACCTGGACTAGTTTTATTTCTTCATGTTTTGGATGTTCTCTGATTACTGTCAGGAATTTCTTAAAATTACTACCGCAATGGCAGTACTTTTATAATATTGCTATTTAATGTTCATACTTGAGACTCGGGGTCATTTAGGAAGCAGATCCTGGTGCTCAGTTCTTCCTTCTTAGCTGTACTTTCTTTTTTTAAATTTTTTCTCTATTGGGTTGAGTGGCAATTGCATCCAGCTTGTCTCCTGCTTCATTTGATTCTTTTACTCAGTTCAAACAGGAGTGGCATTTTAGTCTCCATTGTTGGCTTTCATGTTTAAGTTCCCCTTTTCAATACAAGGGTTCTGTTTTAGGAACGTCTGTGGTCTAAATGTATATATTCTCAAAATGTATCTACACTAAAGATATGGTTTAGGCTAGTGTTTTAGGCTAGTGTTTTCTGAAGTGTGGAGTTTGTGCCAGTGTTACAATGGGAGGTGTTTATCCAGGCTTCTCATTGCTGGAACAAAGTATCTGACATCTGCTACCTAAAGGAGGAGAGTTTTATTTTTAAACTTATCGTTTCATAGGGTTCAGTTTATGGTTGGCTGGCTCCAAGGCAGAAAGAGCATGGCAGAAGGATCTGGTGGAGAGGAGAGGAAAGGAGAGGAGAGAAGAGAGAAGAGGGAGAGGTGCCCTTCAAGTACCCCAACAGCCCAACTCCTCCAAGTGGGCCACACTTCCTAGTAGCATCTTCTGCTATACACAGTATCCCCAGGATCCAGTTGCCTACTGAAATCTCCACCTATGAATACAGGACTTTTGCAGGTTACTATAGATCTAAAGCATAACATAAGGTGAGTTTAGTGTATTTATATTCATACAGTTAATTAATACTAAAATCATACAATGAGAATGAATATCACGCCCCGTATTAATGCTTTTTGTGCCCAGATAACATCGTTAGATATGGAACTTGAACACCTCTGCCACATAGCATAGTAACCATTAGTAACAGAAAATGCTTACTCTTTATGAACAGAACTTTTGCTATACAAAGGTAGAAACCTATATTTATTTTGAAGTTAGCTTTTATTTATAGTGAGTGATGCTGACTTTCTGGTGATGGTAGTAATTTTTTTCTTATTTAAAAATACATTTGATAGAGTAAAAGCAGCAAATTTATTTAAAGAAATCTTTGGGTAAGTAATAATGCACAGGCTGTGCAAATCGAGCAGAATCATGAAGGTAGTAACTGTGGAATGAGAATGATTGGAGTTTGATAAATAGTACAGTACAGATCCAAAAAACCAGTCATGTAGTTTAAATCCTCATTTGATTTGTTTAACAGTTGTCAATGAACTGGGTATGAGTTTTGAAATGCATAGAATAAATCTCATTAATAGACAAAGTTGTCAGAATGCTGCTGGATGTAAGAGCATCAACTTGGAAATGATCACACCTTGGCTTTTCCTGAGTTCTCAGTGTTGGATTCTCCTTGTCGTGGTCCAAACCAGTGACTCTCACGCTTCAGGGGTGTGGGATTGGATTCACACAGAAGACTTTTTAATGTACCAATTGCTGCCTGTCTCCAAAGTTTTTGATTCAGTGGTGTCTTTAATTACTTTCTCATCTCTAAAATACAACAATTGACAACCACAACTTAAAGTAGGAAAGATTTATTCTGGCTCAGTACATAGGGATTTTGGTCTGTAGTTGGCAGGGCAGCATGGCAGAGGAGAAGGGGCTCACGGTGAGTCACGGTGGAGGCAGGCAGCATGATTTCCTCTTTCCTTCCCTTTCTATTCTGTTATGCTCTTTTTGAATCAGTTTATTTAAAAATGCCTTTACCACAAATTTAAAATCTGGAGAAATCTTTTCCCATCCAAAGACTTCATAAATAAGGATAGAATAGCAAGTTTTTTCATTTTAAAAGGTCATTTTCTCTTTTTATTCTGTCCAGGCTACAAGCCTATTGATTGTGGCCACCCATACCTTCTTCCCAAGTAATCTAAAAATAGCATTTCCCCCCAAGTCAGTTTTATTTTAAGGAGAAAAACAAATAAAAATTTCAAAACACAGAAATCAGGGGACAGCAATTATACACACATTGTGCATTGCCATCCCCAAATCAGTCACCCAGAGCACAAGACATCTGCCTTCAACTGTCTGAACAATATCAGCACAGATCCTTCTTTTCAGTGAACTCAGAGAAATCAGTAATATAACTATATATATAAAAAACTATATATACTATATATATATATATACATACATATACACACATACATACAATCAGTAGTAGAACTATCTTATAGTTAAGATAGTACTACTATTGAATTATATATATATATATATATATATATATATATATATATATATATGGTGAGTGCTTCCTGCCCAAGCCTGGATAACATATTGAGGACAGAAAGAGGGTCACTGTGTGTAGTTTGTAGTTTGGTGCTTTGCTACCTTCTGCCTGCCATGAATCATTTCTACTCTGTGATGCCAACCTGCCTGGGAGTCGGCCAGCTGAACTAAAACCTCTACAGACTGTGAGCTAAATAAATCTTTTTCTCTTTTAACTCTTTCTTTCTTTTTGAGAGTCTTCAATGCAGTTCAGGCTGGTTCTGAACTTGCTTATGTAGCCTCAAACTCATGGCATCCTCCTGCCTCAGCCTCCCAAGTGCTGGGATTACAGGCATGCACCACTATACCCAGCTTCTCCTTTAGCTTTGGGTGTCAGGTATTTTGTTTCAACAATAAGAAAAACAACTAAGACAATAAATAAAAGAAATCTGAGCTATTAAAACTTGTGCCTTTGACTTATTTCACTTAACCTTATGGTCTCAAGGTTATGGAATATATATATGTATATATTTCCATCCTACTCTCTATCCTCTTGACCTCCCCTAACACTGGAATAAAATCACTCTACTAAGTGGAAAATCATACAAGTTTCTTGTATATTATAGTTCTGTAGGCCTCTCTCCTATTTTATAGATATCAGACTAATAGTTATCAGCTTGTCAGTAGTCAGGCTGTACTTGAGTTTATTATACCAACTGAACTACTTTAACCTGGATGTCATACATGCTATAACCATTCCTTCCCCCACATGACAACACTGTGATTGTAAGGGGTCCTAGCCATCACCGTAGTCCATAACCAAAGGAATGGGTCCGAAGTCAAATAGATAGCAACTCCTCAATCTTAATATATTGGAAAGATTGGTTCTTGGGGTAGACATAAAGAACTTCCTACATTTAGAAGACAGTGGAGGAACAGACACCTCCTAGAAAAGTCTTGATGCCAGTGGAGAAGGCTATCTAACATAAGAAATCTACACACAGTAACACAGAAGACAAAATAAAATAGAAAATAGAAAATAACAAAATGAAGAAGCAAAATGCAATTCTAAACACCCAGCTCATCCAGGACAAGTCCAGAACACGAAGAGAGAGAGGAAATTGGAAGACAACAAATGAAATTCTCTGAAATGATAGCCACAGAAGTGAAAAAATAAATGGAAGAGGTCATAGGAAAAAAAAAATAATCCCTAAGGTACAAAAAGAAAGGACTATCAAAATAAAAGACACTCAAAATGTGGCTTTGATGGATTATGATGGGGAATCAGAGTAATGGAATTGGGAATATGTGGTTTGAGCTAATCACTGATGGTTTTTAAAGAACAGGCCTAAAACCAGGGATTGGGCAGAGCATAGAATGTATCAGTTAGAGTACTGACTGAGGTTACAATTTAGGGAGCAGCTCTGTTCAGGGACCTGTCTTTACAGATTGATATTAATTTAACTTTTTTTTAATAGCCACACTAGAGATTGAACTCAAGACCTTACTCATGGAAGGCAAATGCTTTTCCAACCAGCCACTTTCCTAGCCCCTTAAAAAAAAAAAACACCTTAAAATCAGTGTGTTGTTGAATTGTCTAGGCTGGCCTTAAATTTGCAAACCTCTTGTCTGAGTCTCCCAAGTAGCTGAATAACAAGCCTGTACAAATGAGCCTGGCCTTAATGTGTTTACA